TATATAGTTAATTTCTGTGAAAGTTTTGCTACGTAAGTTGTTACAGATGTTCATATTTTAGAATTATGTCTTCTCAATCCATGCATATATATTTTATTTTCAATAGAACTTGTATTCTTTGACCAAACTGTGAAATCAGAATTTGTTTCACTTTACACAGGGGAGTCAATCTTCACACTTTTTAAGGCTGAATTTTACAGTGAATTTCACTTTACACCTTTTTTTTACGCTGCTTTTTATACCATTTTCACTTTCCCTTAAAAAAAAAAACCCTAAAAAGCTTTTCACTGTTTTTTTAAATGACATGTGCATGATATGTCCTATACTCAGTAAGGTTAATGTCTCGGTGTGTGCTTGCCATTTCAGAACCTTTAAATCAATAGATGGACATATTCTGCATGCATTCATGGCCTAGGAGTCTAGTACATTGATGCAGTGCATGCTGTATAATACTGTATTTTGTGAATGGGAAGAAATCACCCGGGTGAAACCATATTGGACATTAAATGGAATTGTGGTTTGTAGAGCTGCAATTTTATAAATTTATGACCATTTATTCTGGATTTTTTTTCCAATGTACCCAGAATACATTTAAATCATAATAGAGATCCCGTCTCTCCAGCTTTCATTTTAAAGGCAAAGTAACTGGAGCAGATTACTCCGATACAAGTGAAGACCTATTCTTTTTAAATGAATGGGGAGAAAAAAATTGATCGGGAAGCGAAGAGCCTAGTTGGGTGATCTGCCTGTCATGTGACTGGTCTCTTCTCCTATGGCAGTGTGTTCTCTGCAGCATTATGCAGAGAACACTCCATAGGGCCCCACAGACTCCATATTGCGGTCTGTATTTTATGAATGGCTCGTAAAATGGTGGCGCAGTATGGAGTAAACACAGTGGTATCCAGCGGGGAGCTGATTTAGATATCTGTGTTTTGTAATTGCCCCTTAGTATTATTAAAGAAGGAATCCACAGAAAAGTTATACTTGTGTTATCTTTTAGATGCCGGAAACGTAACCACATGGTGGTTTCCCATGTCTGTCAGGGGCTCCAGTGGCAAGTTCTGTGTACTTAAATCTCTGGGTTTCGCTAGATGTTTGCATGGGCCCCCACTACTTCTGTTAGATTTTAATATATTTTTTGTTATAATTACTGTAACAGGATGCAAGTGAACATTTGATAACACCCAACTTTGAGAAGATAGAGGGGAGAAGCATTGGGGATTATGAGCAAGTGACTCAGACTACACCCATAACTGAAATATCAGTTTTGATAGAAACCCTTTAAGATTTTCATTTTTTACTATGGTTTGTCATGTCTGTTGCCCTTAAAGTATACATGCAGTGTATCCAGTGGGCTGTCCTGTGTAGAGTTTGTGCAGATTGTTTTTGAGCTGGAAAACTGGTGTGATTGGAATGAACAGATTCCTAGTTTAGTTTAATATCTTCCGGTTCATGTAAAAATTCATGTTCTTATTGTTGCAGTAATCCTATTGAGCATATTGATAATCTGTTTTTATTTATTCCACAGTTGCACTACAAGGTTCTAAGATAGATGGCAATGGAATCAGTGAAAGTCGAAGAACAATTAAATCCGGAGAAGATCTACATTTATTAGAAGGAGAACTTTTGTTACAAGTATGTTTATTTAAAATCTACAATAGACTTTTTGGGTGATCAGAGTGTTTGGTGTGACATTAATTTTTGTTAAACACTGAACTCCAGGGAAATTTGTTCTTTTTTGTAAACATCACAAATAAGTTACTACAAATTACACTATCCTGAGTCCAGCCAGCTTGTGGTCACTGCAAAAATCATGGTTGCTGTGATCCTGGATCTTACACACAGCACTATACTCCTGGTGCTGCGGCGATGAAGAGCTTGGCTGCGATTTGAAGGGCTCCAGTCATATACCCGCTCCCTTGTTTCCTGTCGGCCATTCACGAAATGCCTTTGTATTCCTCTCCAAGTCAGTTGTGAGTGTTTCTAAACATATACAAGTACAGACCATTATAAATACAGTATTGACATTGGAAATTCTAAAAGGTCCAGTTGCAGAGGATTTTTCTTACAACAGGTGTAATCAGACCCCGTTATAGTGATGCATACTGTTCAACACTTGGATTACCTTGACATTTTTTGTACCAAAAAAAAAAGGGTCTCAAAGCTGCTTTTGCTAATTACCTTTTCACTTGCCTGACCTGAAAGCTCATTTACACCTTTGCAGAGGTATTTTTTTTTTAAACATATGCCAGCAATGTACTCTGAATGTACATGAAGCAGGCATATGCAGCTGATGTATATGAATGAATACACAAACTTACTTTTTTGTTAGGTTTCCCCTTCATATTGTCATGGGAATGGCCTGATTATCATCTGACCCTGGTGTCAGACTATGTTTCCTGTGGAGAAAATTTTGAACTCTTAAGGTGCCCATACACTGCTCGATTCTCGTACGAAATCCCGCGATCGTACGAGAATCGAGCAGTGTGAACTAAGACGTGCAACCGTTTCTACTGTACGGTCGCACGTCTTTTGTCGAGCCAACATGGATTCTCGGCGGGGTTTCTAGCCTGCTCGCCCGATAGCTGCGGAACGGGCTGGTGTGCGCACACGCACACTGCCCATTCTGCATTGCCATCATCGGAAGCCCGCCCCTCAGCGGGGCTGGCTTTCGATGATCGCAAGTACGATCTGCCCGTCCAAGGTGGGCAGATCGTACGGGCTTTCAAGAAGCATACGACCATCGCAAGACAAAAGTCTTGCGATGGTCGTAAGGTGTATGGGCACCTTTAGGCTTCAGGCCTAATAAAAGGTTCATTAAAAAAAGCGAGGAAAGCCTGCAATATGAGTCATGAAAATGTGCATGTGTATACATCATCACTGCACCTCTTCATTACCACAATAAATGCTGAATGGGGACTTTTAAGTCCCCATTCACAACAGTGTACAGAGAAAAATGTGTGGTGCATTTGTGATGCCATTTATTGTTAATGGTATCCCAAATGCACCTAGCAGGATGGGCCACAAACACAGGATTAAAAAACTCACAAAGCTTGAAGCTTCAAAAGATGCATGAGCTTCATTCCTGCACGTGGGGCTTCGTGTGAATGGGGACTTAGTTTGTCAATAGTTAAACATATTTATGGTAATTTGTATAATTAAATAAAGTTGAACTTGGAGCTAATCTATTGTGCTACACAGTTTTGTTTGTTTATTCTGTAGTTTTATAGTTGCAAAAAAAAAAGCTTTATGCATTAAATTTAGAATTTCCAATGGCTTCAAAGCAAATTACTTAGAACATTTTAATTGCTGGGAACAGGAAAATAAATTTAAAAGGATAATCCCATCCAACAGTTTAGAGTAGATGAAAAACAGTGGTACTTCTTGCATAGCTTTGATGACTCAAGTCATATTGTCTGAAAGTGGCACATCAGACTTTTCCATCTTCTGCCATTTCTGCTTGCTCAGAGGGGATGTTTAACATTTTCCCTTTTCTAGTCCACAAAGTCAATTTTCTATTACAGTATCTGTATTGTACTATATAAAGTTGTAATTGCAAGCTCTTCTACTAACTTATCAAACCTTGGTCTGCTCCTTCAGTATGTAAATAATTTCATTAGACCTCTCATGCGTTTCTTTGAATGTATTTCAGAAGTTCCAACAATTTGAATGCTTCATCTTAGAGTTGGAGTATAGGTTATGGATTTTAATGTAGTTAGGGTAATCGGGTAGGATGTTAAGGTTTAGGGGTTATTTTAGCATTGTGTGTATGACACACATCTATTTATATGCATTTATAGGATATTTCTAAATGCATATAAATGCATACAATTATTTTAAATGGTATTATTCACACTGGGGGGATTGATCAAAACCAGAGCAGACAGAGTCTGTAGCAGTTACCCATAGCAACCAATCAGCTTCTTTGTTAAAATTTGAAAATGAAAAACAGAAGCTGATTGGTTGCTATGCACAGTTGCTCCAGATTTTGTCTGATCCAGTTTTGATAAGGTCCCCTCAGTGTGTGTTTTTCTGAATTTATGTGCATTTAGGTTACTTGCATTTAGAGGAAACAGCAATCTTTATCCAGGGGCAGGTTAGATACTCTAAACACATGTAAACAAAGGTACATTTAAAAGCAGGAGAAAGCGTTTTGTACCAGCTTCCAGGATCAATTTCTCTGCTAGATTAAGTGAAATGTTTGCGTCTGTTTATAATGTGTACAGAGGAAATAAAGGTACATTTTGAATGATTTTCTACATCTGCCACCTGTAATGTTGTGTAGGTTTCAGTTCCCTATCATCCTTAAACAGATCCTTTTGAATGATCTTTGTCTGAGCAATTAATAATCTTGTTTTCTAAGGTGTGCATGTTGTTGCCCTTTTGTCAAGTTCTAGACTTCATACTGTCTCATAAATTCATGCTATAGGTGATGAGTTATCAGTTATAGGATCTTTCCTTCTTCTTGAGTATCATTGAGGATACAAAGCCACCATTGCTGTCACTAGGATCCAGAATTTTCCCTGCGTTTATAGAATGTTGTCACTTGCAGTTCCCATTATATTTACTCTTTAGCACCACCAAGTGTCACCATTGGTTCTGGAATTTCTCTCATTTACTGTATAGCAAATACAAGAAAGGTCATGCCAGCTAAGTTAAAGACAAGTATCTTAATTTTTCAACCTGTGTGAATGCCCCGGAGGACCTAGTGCACTGGGCACTTGGTCCTGTTCTGATCCATAGCTTTCTCTGCTGAGCTGATGGGATGGCCAGCTTGCCCCCCTTCCCCACTGCTGTCCGGCCACACTGCTTGCAAGGAGACACATAATTAATTAGGTGAGACTGACAGGCACAACGAGGAGAGGGGGTGATGATGGATAGCACAGAGTGAGCTAAGTGGGGTGATGACAGCATACACAGAAGAGAGGGGCATAACATCTACAGCCCTGTGCCTCCTCTGCTCTGCCTTGTACTGGAGGAAAGGCTACTGAGCCCAGAGCCTCCCATCTGCTATTGTGGAGAGAGAGAATAAAGTACGAGCAGCAGGCTTGTGTTGTGAATGATGGTGGCTGCAGATCAGTCCAGTCATTCATGAAAACACAAGCCGGCAGCTAGTACTCCAGACCCTCTCCCCGCAATAGCAGGCTGCCTGCTCTGGGCTCAGTTGCCTAACAGTAGTGATCTGCAGCAGAGCACATCCTCTGCTTGCCCTTTGTTGAGCCCTCCTACATTCTATTATGGTGAAAAGTGTTAGTGCCCAGGGAGGAAGAGCTCTTTCTGCGGGAGAGACACCACTGTGAGCTGGCTTGTGCTTTTATACAGTATACTTCACAACGCAAGCCAGCAGCTACTACCTCTCTCCACAGTAGCAGGTGGGTAGGTCTGGGCTCAGTTGCCTTAGAGTACTAGCTGCCAGCTTGTATTGTGGCTTGTGTTTTTATAAACTAAGCCAGCAGTTAGTACTGAAGACTTTCTCCAGGTCAGCAGGTGGGGGTGTCAACATTCAGGATTCATCTCAATGACAATAAGGAGTGGAGGCTAATACTGGCTGTGTAACTTCCCCATTGGAAAGCCCAACTTGAGGTGCCCTACAGCTAGCACTGACCGAAACAAAAATTCCAATTCATTGGACAATGCATCCATTGGTCACAGTGCTCTGTGTACTTGGTCCCCTGGGGGATACCTGAAGAAATAAACTTTTGTAATAGTTCATCTTTAATGACAGCTCAGCATGACAGCCAGACAGCTAGCATTTTCATAAGGAGAGTTCAGCAATGGCATCTTGCATTTTTCTCTTACTGCAGGCTTTTGTCAAACTGGTCATAGACATTCTGTCATGTGGTAAAATACAAGCTGACTGTTTGATCAGTTGGGTGTGCCATATGAGGACATAAGTGTCCAGAAGACCAAGATCCTGGTCATCAGCACATCTGGAATCATTAGAAAGGATAGTCATCTAATGTCTATGAATACTTCAAGAAAACTCTTCTATTCCCTGAATATAGGACGTTTTTTGTTCCTTGCCGTAATTATGTCTTTTCCACGTGTTGATGAATACTTCATACCTTAAAAGACTTTCATGAATGTACATAAGGAGTAAATTTATTTTTTCATGGGTTAATTGGCATTTCCAAAAATTAGTCCAATTCTAAACTATAAAACGATATCAGACATGCATTTTCAAAGTCATAAAATGGATTCCATTCATTGCATTGAAAATGGTGCTTTTCAGTGCTTGACCTTGCATGTACACATCCCAAGTGGCGCATGGCAAAATCATTGACCTGAAAATTAAATAGTGAATAGTTGCTAAAATGTCAGTGTTACAGTTCCATTCTCGAAGTCCATGCCTAATACAGGGCTATGACTGGAAAAACAATTCCTCTTTTGGCAAAGTTAAAGTACTAATAAAGTTAAGTATACTGTCCTCCTGCCATCTGCTACACAGCAGTGTGTTTAGAGAAGTGCACACCTCCTATATAACCTTTCTCATACATTTGAGGAAGCTGGTGCCTCTTTCGCATAGATGTCATTAAAAAGCCAAAAATAAAATTATCTGTTTTCAAACGATCTGTATAAAGTACTATTGTTCAGCAAGCATTTCCACTAAACTATCATTGATTCTGCTTTATGAA